CTCAACACTTTGGGAGGCTGAGGTGGGCAGATCACCTGAGGTTAGGAGTTTGAGACCAGCCTGGCCAACATGGCAAAACCCCATCTCTACTAAAAATACAAAAAAAAAATTAGCCCGGCGTGGTGGTGTGTGCCTGTAATCCCAGCTACTTGGGAGGCTGAGGCAAGAGAATCACATGAACCCAGAAGGTGAAAGTTGCAGTGTGCTGAGATTGCGCCATTGCATTCCAGCCTGGGCAACAGAGTGGGACTCAGTCTCAAAAAAAAAAAAAATTAAAACATTATCGGGGCATAGTGGCACACACTTATCATCCTAGCTATTCATGAGACTGAGGTAGGAGGATTGCTTGATCTCAAGAGGTCGAAGTTGCATTGAGCTCTGATCACACCACTGCAACGTAGCGTGGGCTGAGGAACAAGACTGTCAAAAACAAAACAGAAATTAAAAATGTGATTAAGTGAGCAGTATTTTAGGGCCAAACTTTAAAAGTTTGTTTATATGCTTTTTCGATAAAAAATTTAAATCAGGCTGGGCACGGTGACTCATGCGTATAATCCCAGCACTTTGGGAGGCCAAGGCAGGTGGATCACCTGAGGTCAGGAGTTTGAGACCAGCCTGGCCAATATGGTGAAATCCCATCTCTACTAAAAATACAGAATTAGCCACGCATGGTGTTGCGTGCCTGTAATTCCAGCTCCTCAGGAGGCTGAGGCAGGAGAATCACTGGAACCCAGGAGGCATAGGTTGCAGTGAGCTGAGATCATTCCACTGCACTCCAGCCTGGGCAACAGAGTAAAAAAAAAATTTTTTTTAGTCACATATGAGGAATAGTTCAGTAAACAGAGATGACTTGAAAAAAAATGCAAGTGTTGGATTGTAATGCATTGACACCAACTTGACGTTCTTAGAGCAAATTAATTCTTAGGAGGAGAAGAAAAATCAATCTGATGTTTACATTTAAAATGTACTACTGAATTGAAGTTGTCTAGAAGATTATTATTAAATTAACAAGATGGAACATATCTGACAAACTTAATGTCTGGCCTGGAGAGATTTTGGACTGTTTTTTGTGGGACTAGACTTAGGTAAAATTGGAACAAGGCTGGACACAGTGGCTCACGCCTATAATCCCAGCACTTTGGGAGGCCAAGGCAGTGGATCACCTGCGGTCAAGAGTTTGAGACCTACCTGGTCGACATGGCAAAACCCCATCTCTACTAAAAATACAAAAATTACCTGGGCATGGTGATGTGTGCCTGTAAAAAGCTACTCGGAAAGCTGAAGCAGGAGAATCATTTGAACCCAGGAGGCAAAGGCTGTAGCGAGCTGAGATTGCTCCACTGCACACCAGCCTGGGCAACAGAGTGAGACTCTGAAAAAAAAAAAAAAAAAAGATTTGAACATAAATAAAATTAACCTTTGTGACCTTTGTATGCATGGCCATGGAAGACTTCTATCTTTGCATGGGCATTAGACTAAATGTCCTTTTACTCTTTGTCTTTACCAGTAGACATACTTTCAGTGGTCAGCTGAGGATAGGTAAAAGACTCTTGCTCAACTTACTCTACCTAGTCTTGCTTTCCAGGAAGGGGGAGAAGATAATAAGCATTACTATCTCAATACATTTTAAGAAAAATTGTAAGCCAGGCGCGGTGGCTCACGCCTGTAATCCCAGCACTTTGGGAGGCCGAGGCGGGTGGATCACAAGGTCAAGAGATCGAGACCATCCTGGTCAACATGGTGAAACCCCGTC